TTCTTGGAAAAGTCATCAAGTTTATCCACTCCACTTCCTCTCCATCAATCTTCATCTTCGTTACCCAAAGGTCTCGAACTCCCACAATTTGTAACAAAAAAAAAATTATTATTAGTTTTAAGCTTTTGACAACTAAGTTGAGCTTATTTTCGTTCCTACAATTATTGATTTTTGATTTTGAAGATTCAAAAAGCACCAAAGTTTTTCTCAAATTTTTTTTTTCGGAGTTGGGTAATTGGAATAAAATGCTATATACAAATAAGGTCGATTTTGTAGAAGGGCTATAAAAATTAAGTCAAAAGCTCCAAGATTCACATCACAAAGGTCAAGATTGACTTATGTCAAATAAATGATTCATACTATTTTACCAAGATAGCTTCGCATGATTTGGTTGAATTATTTTTTAACCTTTGTTAATATTAAAACCTTATGTTCAATCTAGGTAAAGATACATAGACAACGTTTTTAATATCCACCAATAGACAGACTAAATACTACAATTGTATGAACATTATTCATTCTCATTAGCATATTCCCAAGATGAGGAGTTGGAGATAACTTGGTCGCCTCGGAGTACACGAGAACTGAGTGTACGTAGAGAGATTTTACAGCCAGTGACTGGACTGTTCGCAGCGAAACCGATCCTCCAATATTCAGAGGCGGAAACGTTTGCCTTTACGTTTACGTTTGCGACGGAGACAGAATTGGTAAAAAGCTCTATGTAACACCTTTGTTTGTTGTTGATAAGACCTATTAAGATGAGCTTAAAACCAAAGAGGAAACCGGTAAAAATAATGTACGAAAAGCAGCAATAAGCTGGAGTAATATTGAAGGGCTCTCTAGCCATTATGGGAACATCATATATAGTTAAGATTGGTTCATATATATAGGTACGGTTTTGTCACTAAATAAATGAAAAGTTTCATTTTTATCTTTAGCCTTTAATTCTTTCTGATATGACATGTTTTGATTTGATATATATTAATTATTAATTAGATGATATCCACACATAATTAATATAAAAGCAAAACAGAAATTTTTGATATTAAAGTTTAAATGTTAGTATATTTTTTATCTTACATTTGTTTAAAACTTTATATATAGTTAGATACATTTATAATATCACAAGCTAGATGTCTATTAGAACGTTTTTTTAATTATAATGTTAAAAATCTTTAATTTCTTAAAAAGTTATTGATACTATAAGTTTAAGATTTTTTGAAATACTGTACAATGTTATGTTTATCCAAAAAAAATAGAATATGAAAATTTTCTTATTTTAGAAATATATTTTTCAAAATTTTAAAATCATTTAATGGTAATTAGATTTTAGTAATTTAAAAATAAACTTGTTACTTAAAAACATATTTAGAAGATGTTTCTAGAAAATATTTTGTTAATTAAATTAAAAAAAAAAAAGATTATAGTGAAACGTTTGTTTGCCAACATTTATTATATAACTCTCAACAGTGCTTGACACTTGTCAAAATATTAATAAGTACAAACACATTTTTTTTTTTTGGTAATGTCTCCTATGCTTTATTAATAAAAGAAAATAACTTACAAACGAATATTACGTGGGTACGCAGCCCCATTCATATCCTCTAACAAAACCGGCTTAACAACATCCGGGCAATTAATAAACGAATGAAAACCAAGCGATAAAGAGAACGCAGAGTTCGCTAATCCATCGGCAAGACGATTAGCTTCCCTATACACGTGAGAAATACGGATTATCCAGTCTCTCGATAAGAAGCCATAGCACAAACGTACTAGGAAAGACAACGGATGAGAATCACTAATCCCCGCTGTAAGAAAACCCACCACCAACTCCGAATCAATCTCCAACTCCAACAGAGTTATCTTACGCTCCCATGCAATGTAGAGACCATATCTCCCCATAATTCGGCTAACGGTGCGGTGCAGATTCCAACATTCAATGCAAAACCACCATACCAACCTCCATCTTCTCGCCGGAGAACTCCCCCTGCTGCGGCCAAGCCCGGATTGCCTCTCGACGCTCCGTCCGTATTTAGCTTAACCCAGCCCTCCACCGGCCTTTTCCACGAGATCATTTTTGCTACTCTCCCCGCAGCCCTTCCCTGACCACTCTCATTCTGGTTTGCTTTGACCACCTCGACGGCTAGATCTCCAATAAATTTCACCCTGTCTCGGCACTTCCCGTTTACACCAAAAACATTGCCACACCGCCATTTCCAACCCCACCATACCGCCATAGCAAACATAACAGCCCATGGACACCCATCAACTTCCTTGCTATCTCCCAGATTCTCAAACACCCACTCAAGCAATGATTGATGAAAGAAAGTACCTCGTTTTCGGGCCGGGAGTATTTTGATCCATATACCAAGCATTGATGGGCAATCACAAAGTATATGAATTATCGTCTCCTCCCCTCCTTTGCAGACCTGGCAGATTCCATTATCGCTCAGATGACGTCGATATCTCTCCATATTAGTCATTACAACTTGATTAACTCCTAGCCAGAGAAAAATTCTAACTCTCTCCGGAACCTTAATCTTCCATATCCGATCAAACATCATACTCTCGATCTGTCGTGGTGTGTTATCTTTCATGAGAAACTCATATGCATTTATTACAAACACATTTAGTACTTAACTTATTCTAATAAAGCTAAAAAAAGTTTTTTAAGATAATAGCTTTTAGATTAAAACATATCTAAATCTAATATATTAATTATAGATTACTTTTAAACTTTAAAGAGTAGTTAGAAAATTGTTAAGAATTACATGAAATATCATTTTTGAGCCATTTCAAATAATTCATTAGGATACTTGGGAATAAATTTGCAACTACCAATAGTTTGGTTACACATGGACAAGTCACCGTATATGACGTCGGAAATGGGGTCCCCAGATTTCAAAAGGAAGCTTCCCCTAGTTGTTTCTTTTGCTCCTACCAACTCCGCTTGAAAGTTGTTTTAAACATATTATCATATTATCAACTACATCAACTATGGAAGCCAAATCATAACCATGTCTCGGTCATAGCAGAAGAACAAGACGCTCATCCATGAATTTGCATACTCTGGCGTATATCGGCTAACCAGACTAGTTAGTCCTTTCAAAAGGATTCTTAGAGAGGGTTATGCCTTTGCCGACATATAACATTTCTTATATTAAACATTGGGAAGCTAGAATACCTCTCTTAGGATGATATTTAGAGGATCTAGATAGATGAAGTATATGTTCGTTCTTTAGTTGACGGGTCTTGCATCTTAGAGCTTCTTTATTGGTAATACCCAATATGGGTGTCTAAAACAATTTTTAGAATTAATTTTATTACTCCTTTTGTTTTAAAATATAGGATGTTTTGGCTAAAAGTACAAAGTTTAAGAAACTAATTATTTTTTTTGTTTTTATATTTTTAACATTAAAATCATAATTTAATATTTACTTAAAAGAATTTAGGCAATGGAAAAATTTACCGTAGAATATAAATAGTCACAAAATTGTATAAATTTAATTCTTACATGAAAACTTGAATGTTTTTGTTCAAAACATCTTATATTGTGAAACAAATTAAAATAACTAAGACATCTTATAATATGAAACAGAAGAAATATTAGTTTAATTGAGTGTCTAAAAGAGGGGGTATTAAGTGTCTATGTGAAGTAACTATAAAAGAGGATGAGTATCTACAGTTTTAATTTATTATTATTTTCTATTTTTTAAAAGATACCCATCTCTCCTCAATTCACCAATAGAAGTGGTTTTAGAGCATCTCCAATGGTTAGATACTCTAAGAGAGTATCTGCCCAGTATTATCATAGTATTTTAAATATAATTATATTAGTTAATTAAATTTTAAGTGAACAAACAATTTAAACCAATCATATTAATAAAAGTGACACAGAGAGGTTCTAAAGAAGAACCCAAAGGCTCTTAAATGAGAAATTGAGAACCCATACTTACTATCGTTCTTCTTCTTTTTTTGATTATTTTGTATTATTAAAATATTAAGAGACTCATTAAAACCACCGTTGGATATACTTTAATGCTCTCCATTAATTGCCAAGACACAAATTTTCTGCCGACGAACAAATTAAACTACGGCGGATCCAAAATCTCATCCGCACAATTGTAAGTAATTATTAATTTCTAAAAGATATTCAATTATCAAATGAAAAAAAAAACATGTAACATACAATTATATCATATTAATCACAATATTCGCTCGTACATTTTTGTTTGACTATTATTAATACATAAAAGAAACAAATACTACAACTAAATATTTTCAAAAACAAATATATATATATATATATATATATATATATATATATATATATATATATATATATATATATAACTCAATAATATGTTAAGAGTCACATGCCGGCTATGAATATGCGTGATGGTTCATAAACTAATTATAAAACTAACCAAAATAATGAAAAATCGTAGGAGTACAAAACCTAGTTTATAGGCGTCTAAATATTAAAGTTTATATATAGTTTAATCTGGTTTTTTAGTTGAATCGCATAACTGAACAAAATAATATAAATATTTAAATTTAACAAAAAATCAAAATATTTAGAACTGTTTTCAAAAATCATGATTTTGTGATGTCAATATTGCGGGTATTAACTTAGTTACTATATAAATTAGCTATCAACGGAAGCTAAGATCAAAAGTGAGTTAAAAGAAAATCGGAACTATACTTTTATCTTTTAAGGAAAATTCCATAAAATATACAACCTAATTATTACTTTCACTAAAATAGATGAATTTCTAATTACGTGCTTAATAAAATACATGAATTCATTTTTATCTTCCGTTATAATACATAAATTTTTAAATTATACCCATTTAACATACACGAGGTGACGAAAAGTAATATCTGTTATGTGTTTATTATTAAATATACTGAAAGTATTTTCAATTCCAAAAAATAAAAAAATTCCAAACATATTTTAAAATTCTTATAAAAAATAGAAGTTCTAAAAAAAAATTTATATTATTAAATTAAAATTATTGTAGGAACGTTACTTAGATGACAATGCTCTGTATGAATATAACAACATAATAAGTTATATTTAGTTGTGTTACAGGTAATTTCTGTCATATATGATATAACATATATATCTATGATTTTGAAAGATTTGATATTGTTTGACAAACAATAAATTAACATATTCGTAAATAATATATTATCTAAAAATATAAATTAATAAGTTTGACAATTTTTTTGAACATTTTTTAAAGTCTTCAATTTTGTGAAAGAAGAGTGACACTGAATCTTCTCAACGTTCTCATGGATTCGGGTTAGATTATGACACCTTATATCAACTTTCTCATGGATTCGGATTAGATTATGACACCTTATATCAATATGTCCAGCAATATCTCCGAGATCGGTCTTATGCTTAGCCCTTAATTTGATATCTAGTTGTTCGTAAACGACATCGTTTGGATTATCCTCCACAACAAAATCAACTGAGAATACCGTTTGATTTGGACAATTACTTTTGTGAGAAGTATTTAAAACGGCAGCGTTTAAGGAACCGAGCCTCACGGCAGTATCTCCTCCATAGTAGATAGAATACCTGCAAGACCATAGACAAAAGAAACCATTTGAAGCATCAAATTAATATTATTATATATTACTCTCCATTTGGACCGGTCCAAAAATACCTGGAGTTAGGGTTTGTGACGAGAAAATCAACGTGCCACGTGGCGGTGGAGGGAGAGACCGCAATGGATTGGATGTTGAATTTGGCCTGATAGGGAGCTTGGTTGATGAAGTACACGATTATTAAGGTGATTGCGCCGAGGTACATGGGTGTTAACAAAGCTATAATTTCCATGAGAGTGGGTTCACGATCTCTCGGAATAGTAATTATTGGTCGTGACCACCATCCACGACGAGGAGGAGGAGTGGCTGAGGACGGTGGCATTGGATCTCCGATCAAGGAGTAAGAAGAATCGTTGGTTTCGGAAGCCATTTTTGCGTTTGTTTTTTTTTTCTTTTTCTTTTGGAGTAAGGTCATATGTTTTGAGAGAAAGAAAGATTTTATAGAGACGTAAAGAGAAGTATGGTTTACAAATTTACAATAATTTTGATTGATCTCAACTTTTTGTTTTTTCCTTCTTTAAAATGATTATGTGTAGATATATAGGAAAACATTTTAGCTATTTTGGGGTTATTATGTATTTACAAATACAATCAAGAATTGAATTATATGATAACAACTTCATTTTTCTTATATTTAATTTCTTTAAAATAAACTCATCTAGGATTCACTCCCATATTGCATTTTTAATTTATGTCAATGCTTTGCTTCTTTTGGAAATCATACATATTTTAAGAAACGTGTTATAATAAGTCAAATAGCTAATGACACATGTCAAATATTTAAATTATATGTTTTCTAATTTTAAATTTTAAATTTTCACTTTTTTGGTTTTCTTTGTTAATTTTCAAATTTAAAATATGAATTTTTAAAATTTGATAAAATCTAGCACAAAATAAATTATATTCTTTCAATCTTTTGAGAATCCTACTAATATTATTTGGGAAGCTTTTACCCATTTCAATACTTAAAATCTGAATTATGCATCCATTTTTATACATCTCGTATCGAATTTGAATGTGTAATCGAATTTTAATGTGCTCAACACCAATTGTTATTTCGTTTAGTTTCTAACCTAAGTTACGAAAAATCAACATATATGCTCAAAGATTATTCGTAATAGATTATGATTGATCCAATTTTTTTTTTAAAGTTGCTGTTTATCATTTATGCATATGGATGATTTTCAGTAGATCGTTACATAAGGATTTAGGAAGATGCATTAGGAAGATCATATGTCGACTCGTAGGATAGTTCCAAGTTTGAGACCAAAATCCGTATAAGACCAAAACACAGTGGGAATTATACATCCCAAAAGAGGCTTAATAAAACCAACTTTAATTGCTAACTACTATCCCGCTGCTCGTTTTGTCTAACGGATGATTTTCCTTCTCTAGAAAACATATGAATTACTGCTTAGATTCGTATAATCTTGTATTTGTTTCGATTTCTCAAATTTTAATCTTGAAATTAAATGCCACATTGAGTTGGTTACTTTTGTTAATTATATTGTGAGGTTACAAGTTCCACTAGATGAGTATACATTTCTTTTCTAGAGAGACTACTCGTTACAACTTTGGTAATATTCATAACTAACTTTTGTTAGTTTTGCATTTCAGTGTAACTGTGGATATATATCTTGCTCTTTTTTTTGTACTAAACTAAGGAACAACAATCTAATAAAAGATGAAGAAAAAGCTGATGATGAAGATGTTGATGAAAAAGAGTAATCATATCCTTTGTAGGTCGTTTTTCTGAGGCTCTTCTAATACATTTCTGATGTCTTTTTGTTCCCTTCTAAACGAATATTTTCCATGGCTCATTGTTTTACTTAAAGCTAAACGAATACATTTCATGATTTTTCTCCAACCATCACTATACTAGGCTGCATGTTTATTTGGGAATGGTCATTCAATCATATTTTTATTCAACGGGAATTTGTGTAGTTAATTTAAAATATTTCGACGGATACAAAAAAAAAAATGGAGTTATCAATAATTTTAACTCAAAATACTAAAAAAAAAAAACACTGTCATGAATACAAAACTTGTATTCTCTATAAAGGATTAATCATAGACATGATTTCATCAATCGTATAGTCAAGTCTCTGTTATCAATTAATAAGAATCATCACACTAATCTTATATGGTATCAGAGCTTCACGCTCCTAAAACCTAAAGTTTTCTAATTAACGTCATTTTTTTCTCCAACACAACTGATGCCATCAATCTCAACAAAAACACCATTCTTAATATTGATGTGTCCAATGTTTCCAAACTCACAAGCACTAACTATTTGATTTGGAGTTTACGAGTCCATGCTCTTCTTGACGGAAATGGTTTCGCCGGCCATCTTGATGGATCAAATGTGACTCCATGGGCCATTGACACTGTTTCGGATGTTGTGTCTGACAATCTCGAGACTTCGTCCGTTGGAAACGCCAAGATAAGCTGATATATATAGTGCCTTCTTCGGTGCTATTTCAACTCCTCTCCAACCAATGGTCTCCACTGTTTTCTGATTTAATTTGGGAAAAAATTGCTCCCACATATGCTAAGTCGATTTAGTAAAGTTCGCTTTGCTATTCCGTTCTCGAGTTTGGTGTATAAGGGCGGTTTCGGAAAATTATTTATGAACTGTTTCCAACTCGCTCAATTCCAAATAGAAATAAATCTAATTTAGATTGATATTTTGCTATATTTTATTGGTATATAGACAAAATCAGGAAATACATAATTAAAAATAGGTAACAAAAGTAAATATTAAACTTTTCTTTTTTTTGTTAAAGGAAACATATTAAAATGAAGAGACTAGATTTTCATGTAAATAAGTTAATGATAGCCTTAGAAATTTGTCATCCACAGAAAAATTGTGAAATCTAATCCAAACTTTAAAAAACGTTCAACGGGAAGTATAAGGAAAGTAGGGTTTAAGCATCTTTTCTTCTGTATCTCTCTCTATAAGTAGCGAAGTCTTAACACACCTCATCTCTTATCCTTCGATAGACATGTTAAACGGCACGAACACCGAGCTATTCCTCTCTGGAGAAGCATCGAGCAGCCGCCCAAAGTGGCAAAGAGTTCTCTCCATGGAGAATGATGGAGGAACGGCGAGTGGAAATGAAGTGGCACGATCAGTGACACTGTTCGAGCTTGATCTTTTGGACTGTCCCATTTGCTGCAACAAACTGACGTCTCCTATCTATCAGGTCTCTCTTCTTCCTCGTTTATAACTTTTTATTCGGGAAAAACAATTAATTTCACTGACGAGTTCTATAAAGATGATTTTGTTGATATGAGACTTTAGATAACATCCATTAGCTTGAAATTCATGTAGTGCAAATATTAAGTTTGTTTCATTTAGTGGGAAAATCGGCTTTTACATACCTTTAACTTTTGATAATTTTGAATTACAAACCCGAAGTCGACATTTTGTGCCAAATCGTGCAGTGATTCGTATAGGACACTTTTCCTTTTGGTCAAGAAAACATAATTTGATGAATTTTTCGATTTCTCAAATTTAATCTTGATTGCCACATAGAGTTGATAAGGTGTTTTTCTTATTATTTGCTTTTTTATTAGATATTTATTTATTTGATAAGTTATACTAGACTAGTTGAAAATACATTTGCTACGTTTTTTTCTCTCTTTTGATGCCGTTAGTGATTTGCTTGATATCGATTATTTTCTCTTTAAAACTTTGATAATATTAACTACTAACTTTGTGGTTTTAAATCTCAGTGTGACAATGGACATATAGCATGTTCTTCTTGCTGTATTAAAGTGAAGCACAAATGCCCTTACTGCAGTTTGAGCATTGGTATCTACCGATCTAGAATAATGGAAAAAATTTTAGAAGCAGTCTTCATCAAATGCCCAAACGCCAAACATGGCTGCCCCGAGAAGATCCCATACAAAAAAGAATCAGAATCAGCCCATGAGAGGGAATGCAGCTTCACTCTTTGCTACTGCCCTGAAACAAACTGCAACTACACCGGGGTGTATAAGGATCTCTACGGTCATTACCATGCTAACCACAAGACTGATTACACATTGTTCAAGTGTGGCCAGTACAATGACGCATGGGTACGCATCCATACAATGAAGATTTTTGACTTTGTAGTCCTTCAAGAATCTGAAGATGGTCCATTGGTTGTTATTCAATGTTTCAAGGAGTCAAATGGAGTGTGTGTGACTGTGAACTGTATAGCACCTTGTGCTCCAGGAGTTGGGGAATTCTCCTATCATCTCATCTACCGGAAGGGAAGTGACATTGTTAGTTTTGAATCCGAGGAGATGAATAAGATTCAAGAAGTGAGCTCCTACACTCCGTGGGATAAATACATGTTGATTCCTTACTGTTTACTAGACGAAGGCCCTATGTTGAAGATGAAAATTTGCATTCGCCGATTAGGAGAAGAAGTATAAGAAGATGATGGTGATGATGATGATGATGTGATGAAGAAGAGGAGTAATTATCATATCATAACTCTTGTAGTAGGTTATTTGGTTCATATATCAGTGGCCTAGTAATCTATTTCTGATGTTGTCGTTGTTTTAGTTGTTGTTGTTGTTGTAGCTGCTTTCATCTATGAACTCTAAACTCATATTTTAATGGCTTATCATTTTACTTAATGTTGTTTCTTTAAAGTTGTTTCTTTCTCTAACCATTGATTACACTTATACTTCAATTAGAGTTGCTCTCTTATTTTCTCAAGATGATAGAACTACCATGTATAGTCGGATTGTTTGGCTAAATTAGCCCTTCATTCCTTTGTTGACAATGTCCTTATAGGGTTTTGAAATAAATTAAGTTGCTGACCTACAAAATAGTTTTTTTTTGTTTTTTTTGTAATAAGAACACACAATTATTGTATTTTTGCAAACTATGCAGAAATTAGTGGTATATATATGAATTCCCGAAACATTTCCATATTATATAGTCTCTTGTTTTTGTTTTTTCGTCAACTAGTTTCTTGGTTTCTTAAAGTTTTATGATTTGAAATTGTCAAAATAAATTATGAGAAAGAGAAACTAATTGTTGTACATAATTGATATTTCTATAATGTTTGAATTGATAACATTTTGTCAGACACACTTGATTCAAAGATTATACGAAAATTGTTTGCAACGTCTATCCACTAAGTAATAAAAAGGCTAATGAGAAAAAATAAAAATAAAATTTGGCTCGTAAACATAGGCTTGAGGGTTGTATTTATATATAAGAACGAATTCAGTCTCAGATTTACCTGAAATGCCTTCAATTCACTCCGATCCATTCCGAGCTACTAAATATAATGGAAACTTCTACTTTGTCGAATTTAATTGGGTTAGAAGAATTATAAAGTAAATCATTAATTTTACAGAAAATTTTAAATCATTAATTTTACAGAAAATTTAAAATCATTAATTAGAAAATAGATATTTATGGAACTATAAGAATTATAAACCAAACTCTTGCCTATGGTATCAAAATTTCTATTAGTTTTAGGAGTTTATAACTTCCTCTCGCCAATAGGAAAATTTTCTATAAATTTGATACGATAGGCGAGAGTTTCTTTTCCCATCGAATAGGCACAACCTGATTATTGAGACCATATATTTACAAAGACGATTTTTCGAACAATTATTATCTAATCCAGTTTGTTAATTCTTACATTTGTTCAAATTGAGACCGGCAAAATTAATTATTTATAAAAGTTTTACTATATTTATGTATATCTGTGGTTGAACATTGTATAATATTTCCAATAAATTTATTTTGTCAATTATCTATCAATGATGAAAAGTGTTATGTTTGGATATTTCCTTATTTTAGAACCGAACCAAAACAAGAAATTTACACAGGAAATTAAGCAGAAATTGGAAATACAATAAGAGGGAATTTGCGACAAGCTTCAATACCTGTAGACTCGGCTAAGTCAGGCTTATCCTCTCCCTGTGGTCCGGCCTTGACTCTCCAGTGAAATTGTTTCACGAGATTTGCCAATGTAACTTCAGCCATCACCATTCCAAATCCTATTCCAGGGCATATCCTTCTACCCGACCCAAATGGAATGTATTTGAAATCCTGTCCTTGAAAATCTAAAGGTGCATCTAAATGTCTCTCCGGGATAAATTCTTCTGCATCTAGTCCCCATGTTGCAGTGTCCCGTTGGATTGCCCAAGCATTAATGAATACCTATATAAATGGTTCAGATTTTTAGAAATGAGTTCATGATATATTGTTAGGATCCCACATTGGAAGTTTAAATAGACCAACACTAGTATATAAAATACAAGAGCCGATTCATTCATTACCGGGAAGACCATGAAATTTAACATATAAAGATATTACCTGTGTGCCTGCTGTTATGTCATATCCCATTAATTTGACATCTTCGCTTAATAGTCGTGGAACTAATATTGGAGCTGGGGGATGCAATCGTAGTACCTCCTTGATTACAGCTTTTAAGTAATTCATCTTCTCAAGTTCTTCCTCTTTTACGTATAAGTTACATATCGAACCCGAACGAATTTCATCTTGAAGTTTTTTCATACACTCTGGATGTCTCAGAAGCTCGGTCATCGTCCATTCTAGTAGTGTAGAAGTTGTTGCCGTTGACGCAAAAAACATATCCTGAAAATAAGAAGAAGAAAACCTTCATTTTGTTCCCATCACAACAAATATATTTGGCAGTCATTTTGTTTATGTGTTTATATATATAAGAGGAATGCCCTGTCTTACAAAGATTATGAGTTTTATGTCGCTTCTATCAAACATGAATCGTGCGGGGTTCTCTCTTTGGATTGTTAGCAATATATCAACAAAATCAGACCTCTCTTTCTCGGCATCTACATCATCATGTTCTTGCAACACTCTTTCCAGAAAATCATCAAACTTATTGGTTACTTCCTCCATTTTACGATCCAATCCTCGGATTTTATCTATCCATGCTAAACTTTGAATGTATTCCCCAACTGGAAGTTCTGCCATGACGTCCCCGAATCTCTTTTTTAAGGTCTTGATATCGATTGTGCCTTCATAGCCGCTATATTTTCTTCCGAAGGCAACTTTACTCATTACATCACTTGTAAGAGTAAGAAAGATTTTGCTTAAGTTAACTGATGAAAAAGAAGAACTTGCTTCTTCTAGCTTCTCCATCATTATCTTAATCTCTTCTTCTCTCCCTTTCTCAAACGACTGAACCTTTTTGTTGTTGAGGAGATGCACAATGCATAAACTCTGCACCACAAGAAGATTCAATCACTTTCTAAAATATTCAGCTATATATAACTAGTTTATAAGATTTTGATCAATGGATTAAATATATAAAGACAACGGCCTGACTGGTAATGGTTGCTTTAACATTTTGGATATACGATTTAGGCTGTAAATATTTTGGCTATAGATTTGGTATGTGACTTTTTATGAGTGAAAGCTTGATTGGTAATTACGGCTGTGATTTTTAAAATAAGAATTTAATTGAGAATATTGAAAAAAAAAAAAACAAGGAAATCAAAACCTTAAGGTTCCTCCAATGTTCACCATGGGGGGAAAAAATCACATCTCTCCCACCATTCAAAATTCTATCGACCGCCCTTGTTATCGGACGGTTTGCAAACTTAAGATCGTGTGTTTTCATGACTTCATGAGCTGTGTCGGCAGAAGAGACTATGAGGACTGGGACGCGGCCAAAATGAAGGAGCATGAGTGCGCCATAGCGAAGGCTGAGGGAGTGAAAAGAGCGGTGAGGATAGAGGCTGAGCTGATGGAAGTTTCCGATCACGGGAAGTCGCCATGGAGACGGTGGTTGGTGAAGGTTGGTAGATCGTTTAAAAAGTCTTTTAAGGAAGAGAATGGCTGAGAAGGTAATAAAACACATAGAGATTAAAATCATTTTCATTTCTTATCTATGTGATTTGAGCATTTGGTCTTCCTCTCTAGTCTCTACTATGTATTATATAAAGAGGATCTCATCTATGTGTTAGCATATATATATATACTAGATGATTACGGGCGCTATGAGCCTAGATGATTAAATTAGTAAAACCATCTCCATTGGTTATTTTTGATAGATGTCTAAAGATTTTTTTGTAATTAATTTTCATGTTGTTTAATTATGAGTGTTTTTAGAATGTACAAACATGTCTTTAAATGTCTATTTAGAGACATTTTTGCATACTTTAAACTTTAAAGACACTTATATTTAAATAACATTAAAATTAATTATAAAAATTCTTTAGATACCCACTAAAGAATGACCAATAGAAATCGTCTAAGTAAATCAATTTAGCTTGAAACAAGAAGTATTAACAAAATATAATAATCTACAATTTGCAAGAAAATATTTTCTATTCAAATAGTACAAATAAAAGGTTTCATTTTCCGAATTATTCTTAAAAACTTTTTTTTAATTCTTCTCAAGTGGCAAAATAGATTCAACAGACTTTTTTTTGGCTTCTCTCATCTCTCTCGTCTCCTCCAACTTGAGCTCAACAAACCAGTTGGTTGATTAGTCATTCTGGTTTGAAGCGGTGCTTTCAAGAAAAAGAATTGTCTTTATTTGTGATATACATTATCACTTCGTATTAATATACTAAAAATGATACAACAATCTCTATACTCTCGTGGCCTTTGTCTTGTGCTCTACATAATAGAATATAATATTTCAAATGCTCGCGTATCGTGAGGTTGGACTAGTGAAATAAGCCAAAAAACATAGACATCTAAATGATACGAGTTCGATTTTTGTTGGGAGAGATAATTTATTATATGTTACCTGGTTTTAAAATATAACTTGCAGATTGTTTAAGAAAAAAAAAGGTTTAAAACATTTTGGAAAATGTGGAAGTCATATAGTTCGGTGGTCAAGAATTTTAAAGTTTTTACATTGCGCATGAGGTTCGATTTTCAAGTAATACAGTGATTTTACAGATTAATAGTACAAAGGTTTTCGAGAATCTAGAATATCGCAAATATAACCGTTCGTCGTGGTATTTTGTGTTGCGGAAATAATATGTACATCATGGAGATATCGTAAATGCAAAGTCCTTCATTGTAGATCCGACTGTTGGGAAAAAGATACGTCATGGAATCATTATAATCGCATATGTTGCAAGTACTTGAAAATTATCATAATGAATTAGCTCAAATCATATATATGAAAATTGGTTAACTCTCTCTAGTTAGAAATTGTTTGAAGCTCCATAATCTATTTCTTTATCATTCCTAATCAATTCCCTTTAACCCGAGAATTCACCTTTAGTTATAGCTTAGTAACTTGTTAATTCTCTTCTTTGTTTACTTTCGAATCTTGTTAGTCTTTTGATTATTGCTTTTTTTGCCTTGTTTTATATTGTTTTATTGTTGTTTAATTTGTTAGTCAAGTTTACAAAACCAAATCATCTTATTAGCCTAAATTAAGCTTTTGCATGTATTCTTAGTGAGTTGATCAATTGCAAATTGTGGTTCGATATTTAATTGAGTAAAGTACTACATCAATGTATCTCTATTATGATTCTCGAGAAATAATTCATTCTAGTTTTTGTTTTTTTATTTATTTTTAAATACATTGTTTAACACTTATTTACAATTACTCACCTTAAAAAAAATTGTTATCTTTTAAATATTTTTAAGTAAACGTAAAATAAGTATCTTATATTTGCCTTAAAATAACCATAAATTTCACCAATAGTCATTGTCATTAATCCTATATATATATATATAATATAGTAAATAAAATCATGAAATAAATTATAATATCATATTATTTAATTTTTGTACTTTAGTAAATAAAAAAAATTATTAAAATTCCATTGATTTATGTTTATGCATAAGTTTATACAATTTAATACAGTTAAATTTAAATAAGTTAATTTATATATCAGTTTGATATGCTTTTATAACTAATTAAATTGAAATTACTTAATTAATCAGTGAAAAAATGTCAATTATCATATAAACAATAATTAATGTGATTTAAATTCTTAATTAAATTAAATAAAACAATAAATGTAATATGCGTATGTTGCATATTGATGTGACACATGTCACTCTCTCCATTGCTGATGTGGCGGAAGGATGAAGAGAGTTGACCAACTTTCATATATATGATTAGGTCAAGAGTTGACTTTGTGTTGTATTCTGTCTTTGTATATAAAGCAACACCTCCATATCTTATTAAATAAGAAAACTTTTATACGGTCAAGTTTGGTGGAAAGCTTAGTAGTAAAATAATTTCTCTCAATTTTATTGACATCGTATCAGAGCTTTGAACCTAATACAAGGATTTTGGTGATCGACCTTTTGTTTCTCCTCTTATCTTGCACTATGCTCGGATCTATGTTCCTTCTGCTCTGTTTGTGACCTAAACTCTATCGACAATCATCTCTTTCAATGACGAAAAACATCAATTTGCACTAATGGTGGATCGCACTCTCAACACAATCAAAACCAAGTGTTGAGCTAACAAGCCGCACAATCTCTCCATACGACCTTAAGCTTTGTTGATAATCCTGGAACAATGATCTCAGACCATTACTATGCAGCCCTAATTATGATGGATTGTTTGCTAGTCTTCTTTTGGCTTTGAAAATGAGAAAAAAGTTTGGATTGATAGATGGCTCCATAGTGCAGTCAGATGAGAATTCCAAAGATCATGAAGATTGGTGCACTAACACTCATTGGTGGTATCTTGGATTTAATCTTACCATTGACGAATCATTGTTCTCAAAAATGAAGAATTTCGAAAATGCTCATTTTCCAATATTATTTTTCAAAAATACCTCTTTTTTTAAGCCTTATCAAAAATATCCTTGGAAATCTGAAATTTATCCAAATACGTGTGCAACCAGGACCAGTTCTAAGTTTTTTTTAGACCTAAAGCATTTTTTATATGTGGTCTTTCCAAAATGTATTAACAATAAATGTATAATATTAGCTAATCTATAGAACGTGAAAAGAAAAAAAAAAACACAATCAGAATAATCTGAACGTGAAAGGAAACACTATAAGAACGTGAAAGGAAAAAGAAATTGTGGTAGTTTGAACAGACGACCAAGGAATCATCTATAGTCTGCATAACCATTCCAGCTACCTAAAATTATTAAATATATTGTCCATATATTTCATATTTAAACTTTGGCTAAAGTATATGCTTATGGACGGGTCGGGTCTGTGTGCAACCTTATTAAAGAAAACATAAGCTATATGTGTGTAAAATCTTACAAACATTATATATATATATATATATATATATATATATATATATATATATATATCTTACAAATACCTTATAATTACATTGTAAAACTTTATAAATACTTTGTAAAACATTTTAAAATACCTTGTAAAACTTTATAAAATACCTTATAAACCTTATAAATATTTGGATCGAATCTCCAGGTAGTAGTTACCATCCAAAAGTAGCTTGTAAACATTCTGAAACTTTCTAAAATTTTCAGATTTGATGAGAGGTTTATGGACACCTAACAGGGGAGTTTTTGAATGTGAGACAACAGAGGAAACAATTTAACATGCTCTCTTTGAGTGTCCGCATTCTCGACAAATCTGGAAATCGTCTTCAATTCCTATAATTCTAGGAAAGTTTCCTTTAAGTTCGGAATTTTCAAATCTAAATTATCTATTTTGGAGATTCATATCCCATTTAGTCAAATCACTGTTTTGTCTGGATTTTGTGGTTCATATGGTAAGATAGGAATAAAAGGTTTTCAAAGGACTACAATCTGCACCCTTAGATATTTTAAATCATGCATTGAGCGAACAATTAATATGGAAAGAGGCACATTTGGAACCGATTGAATCATGTGTTAATAAGGAAATTGTGGATAATCCAATACATCCCTTAAGATGTTGGATTGATGGTTCTTGGAAATCTTCGGATCTAACTATGGACCTAGGATGGTAGTGTTTTCAAGGAAATGATCAAACGATACTTCTTGATGCGAAGTGTCTTCGGAGGAGTCCCTCCCCCTTCACTCGGAGATGGAAGCTTTAATTTGGGATATGAAGAATATCCTTTCAAGAAGGATTGACTGTCAGGCGTTTGAAACTGATTGTACCGAGTTAGTCTCGATGCTGCAGTCTCCTGAAGAATTGACCGCTTTCTCCATTCTACTACATGAGTTTGGATTGCTCCGTGTTTTATTTCCCATCTTTTCGATTTCTTTTTTTTCACGTTTATGTAAAAGGCGGATTGTTTGGCTTGATACTCTCGTTTACTGTTTTCTGAAGTCACGTTTGTAAACTCTTTCCCTCCAAATTGGGCAACCAAACATGGGAAGAGGCACATGTGAAACCGATTGAATTAGGTGTTAATAAGGAAATTGTGGATAATCCAACACATCCCTTAAGATGTTGGATTGATGGTTCTTGGAAATCTTCGGATCTAACTATGCGCCTAGGATGGTGGTGTTTTCAAGGAAATGATCAAACGTTACTTCTTGATGCGAAGTGTCTTCGGAGGAGTCCCTCCCCCTTCACTCGGAGATGGAAGCTTTAATTTGGGATATGAAGAATATCCTTTCAAGAAGGATTGACTGTCAGGCGTTTGATATTGATTGTACCGAGTTAGTCTCTATGGTGCAGTCTCCTGAAGAATTGACCACTTTCTCCAATCTACTACATGAGTTTGGATTGCTCCTTGTTTTATTTCTCTTTTTTCGATTTCTTCTATTTCACGTTTATGTAATTCTAAGGCGGATTTTTTGGCTTGATACTCTCGTTTACTGTTTTCTAAAGTCACGTTTGTAAACTCTTTTCCTCCAGATTGGACAACCAATCATGGAGTCATTTTTTAATTAATGTGTGGTTGATAAAAAAAAAAAAAAGGGGAGGAGAGGGGGCGGAGGGAATTTTTTAAAAGTGGCACACGAAAAAGAGCAGTTC